TATAAACGTTCTATGTAGAGTAACAGTGTATTAGGTAGGTAGGTACTCAAAATGAGTAACACATGATTAATTGATTAGTAATTTTATAGTATTATTGTATAAATTTAACTTACGGAAGAAGTATTTTAATTATTCCCTCCCTTTTTGTCAATATCGTGATTATAAATGGCACAGCTATCGATACACCAAGGATTAAAGTTAATAATCCAATCCCGGATTTAGTGTTCTTCGTGTAAATGTAAACAACAATAACTCCAAGTATGAAAAACTGAACATCACACGATATGTACCAACTGGCTATAAGGCACTGCAATAATAATTAATAGTTAGAAATATTTTTATTTTATACGTTTTTACCTACTATGCTAATAGGTAATTAATATATTTTATTTATTCTCCCAACTGAACCATTATATGATTACCCATGTAACTTATAATTTTTCTAAGATTGTAATTGCATTAAAATAAAATTAAAAAATGTTGTTAAGTACTTACTTCATACTTAGTATCAATTAAATTACTTATGAACAACATATTGGTCCACCAATAGTTTTTGCATATATCGGCTTCGTCCCAGGTTTTATAAGGCCATAGTGGGCCGTCTCCGAGGTGAGGCACGATATGTGCGGTGATCGCCATCATTGCACAATAAGCCGGTAATATTCTAAAATGGTTTTAGAATAATATATTATGTTAATGACTAGAAGTATGCAAGTGCAATAGAATAGCTGACGGAAATGCTTATTAGATTCGGGGTGTCAGGAATATCGCAATATTTGATGTAATGATGTGATGTTATGGAATACCTATGTTCGACGCTTGGGGAATGTCTAACTACTAATTTAACCACTGATTTTAGCTAATGAGTAATGACATAATGCCGAACTTCAGCAACCAATACTTACATTACCTTACAACTACGTGTGGCTTATGATTACAAATATACATTATCCGTACTCCAATCATACAATAAAATTACTTAATTAAATTATTTTTATTTTTTAAACATGCACATTGGCTTGAACAAAAAATAATTCGTGAATTTTCTTTTATTTATAGACAATAACAACAAATAACCGTAAATCACAAACAATTACTTAAGAGTGAAGAGTGTATAAATTAAAAAAAAATTCAAAAAGAATCTTAATCAGTGCTTATTTATATTCGCATTTCATCGACAACTGTGATCAGTGTAAACACTGTAAACTGAAATGTATTTGTAGCTAGAAAAGCATTTTACAAGAAGTATCATAATTTAAGTTATCAACTTTCTAGTCGTGAATCGTATAATTATGATAAATAAATAATTATTTAACTGTAAGCAATCACTGTTTCATGCTTGTATAAGTTTTTAATTTATCGAATATTATTCAGTGGTCTTTAACCAACTGCAGTTGAATAGTGATTGTATAATGTTTTTGGGCTAGTTTAAAGATTATCCACTTGTATTAGTGGCTGAAGTCAGAAATGTTGTCAATAGCTAAAAGCCGTGGTTAAACTTAACATTAGCTACTCATTGGACTTAACCCGTAACTCTCCATACGTTTTTTTTTCATAGCATATTATCGTACTGGTTATATTATTGTATAAAATTGTTCGATTAGAGAATAATTAATTTTATTGTTCATATAATGTAAAAGGTTTTACCTGATCATTCTGTAGATGATTGGCAAAATAAGTTTTAGCAAAACTGACATCTCTTCTGTTTTTTTATAAACCGGTACTAATGTCGAATATATCAGAAAACCAGTAACGAAAAAAAATGGATCAGTTAAGTTCATACTAGTCAAATAAAGACCGCGTCCGCTGAGGTATAACTGTAATAATTATAGGTACATTATTATATTTTATTGTTTTATTTTTACAGAAATGTTTTCCAAAAACATTTCACTTTTCCAAAAATGTATTAAAAAAAACTATATTGCAATATTTAAAATTTGGAAATTCAATCAGTTTAAAATAGGTTTTAAATACAGATTCAGTTAATTTTTCGAAAAAATCTAAAATACTATGAAGGAATATCAGCAATCTTCTTTCAAAATTGGCAGCTTTTGTGTAAATTTAACTACACTCCTCATTCCAACCATTAGTCAAAATATGAAATTGTCCATGATGCTTTTAAAATTGTAATTTGACTGCCCCCTCCCCCGTATTAACTTAATTTAAAAAATATACAAATAATATCTCAACTTACGTTTTCTATGAATTTAGGATTACTTATTGGATTTCCAACTAAATACATAAATCTGTGACCCAATAAAATTACTATCATTATAACCGCTTTCCAACCATTTATCATATTATATTCGTTATTTTTATCGAACTTCAATAATATTTTAAGCGAATGAATAAAAGAAAATAAGTAGAAAAATGAATTTGGAACTTCTCCTGTTGATTAAAAAACATATGAAATACGTTAAATATGTTCATTTTAATTAATTAGTGAGAATAATAGTACTAGTAAGTTACTAACTTTCGTCTTCTTTCTTCTTTTGTTGGCGATTTAATGCTATATAATGAAATGCTGTTGAAGCGCCACAAATTAAAAATAGCAATCCGAAAATCACGCTACAAGAATAAAAAAACTTAATTAGTATTAATTACTTTATTAGCTTTAATAGTAGCATATAATTTATAAACTGCATATTATTATACTCTTTATTATGTATTAATTCCGTTGGATATTTGAATGAAATATTTAGATATAATATATGTTATGAATTTATGATATATGATAAAAAAAAGTCAAAAATACCTAATAACAGTAAGAAAAAAATCAATTACTTGGTTACGTAATATGCTGTATTGTAAGGATACATGTCTCCACTAACAGTGCACAAGAGCGGATTTACTTTAACAACAGCTTTGAACTGCTCTGGTATGAACACCTTGTCCAATTCGTTTTGCAATGATGTTTGAAGATCTGTTGCTGTACAAGAATCCGGAATGCAGATTCCTAAATGTAAGCTATTTCGTTGGACTTGATCTGGATAATCTACCCACTGAAACGACAGAGTTGTATACAAAGTATTTTAAATGTCACTTTTATTAAAAATTAGAAAAAGTAGGTACCGATTGGATTTTTAATATTTATCTAATTTTAATTGTTGAACGGAATCCAATTAGTGATTACTAATTAGTTTGTATATTGTATCTATAGTATTATATATAGGTATGTGATAACTGATAACTGATAACTAACTGATAAGTATTGGTACACACAATTTCTACAATTATTTAAATTGTGTCTTAGATAACAAATTATGAATAACAAATTGTTATTTAGTTTTGAAAGTAGCATTCTCGTCCGAAGAAATATGAAATATTATATTTGTCAATTTATTATATACTTTACATTTTGTTTAAGACATTTTGATTGCTTTAAATATTAATCTCGATGTATAACCATAACTGGTATATCAATATTTTTTTAAATTCATATTTTAAATATTTTAACATACCCCGAGTACTGTTTTCCATGCATGATTGTTGCCAAAATCGTCAAGATTTTCAGTTCTATTGAAACCATAATTTTTCCCGTCCGGTGGAGATAATTTTATTTCAGACAAACAATACTGTCCTCTTATCGGATGATGCACATCGACACATTCGTCATAGACCCCCATTTGATATCTATTACCTGCCAGTAGACCAACAGGATACCGGCTCCAGGATTCTGACACTGAAAAATAAATATTATATTAATATATTATATAAGTAAAGATAGGTATAATATAGGTATAAGCTACAAGCATACATTATGTTTTTAATAATTTAATTAAGTGGTAAACCATTACTCGTAAGTCTTAACGTATAGTTTATTTTCCCAGCCTCCCAGGCCCGGATTAACACTACCGTAGTCCCTAGACCCATGTGCTAATACGGTCCTGTAGTGTTCAGTATTTAAATGATTAAGAAACCTAATATTTGGGATAGGTAGTGTTGAATCTCAGTGTTCGAAAACGAAAATATTTACAACATGAAAATCATCATGATACTTTACATTTTAAACACATAATGAGTTTTAAACTAGTGTACCTCTTATAAGTGGTGTCTCCCAATAAGCCACGAAACAGAGGACTATATTTAATATAAAAAAAAGTAATAATAATATTGCGTTTGTGAAATGTTACAACCCAGAAAGTTCACAAAATCGATAGTACAGTCTCGACGGTTTCGAATAATAATAATGACCAAAAAAAATTGTTTTTAGCGAAAATGAAGTTAACCTTCTGTAGTACTATTTCTTAAAAGTGAAATTAATTACTTTAATCATAGTAACATCATCAAATATACTAAGTAATATCATAGGCTGACAGACCGTCTACGCTCAGAATAGTTTTTTCATACACAATGTTTTTATATCATTGAATTCAAATTCAATATCATTCATTACAGTGACCCACTTGGCACTTGTGACCTACTGTACAACAGAGCGACATCTCCTTACACGCTTTTTGAATGAATAACAAACATGATTTTTTTTTTAAACAATATACAATTAATTATAATCTATATTATTATCACCGGTTTTATAATACTATGTAGGCAAGGTGTATTTATAAGTACACTTTGTTTATATTTAATATAATAATATATTAGCCATAAGGTATATCCACAGATAAACATTTAATATATTACCTGAGGTAATTCTTTAGTTCACATTTTCACAAGTTGTAATTAGGTTTAATAATAGGCACGTCAATCAAAGTAAATTATCAATTAGATATTTTTAGTCTTGATCATACAATCAAAACGTTTGTTTTTTTTTTCAATTTTCAATTTATGCGTTTATGATAGTATTTAATAGGGTTCCTAATATTTTTCTGGCTGATATAAAATCAGCAAAACATCGTTACGATAGATTTGAATAGTATAAATTATTTTTGTAACTAGAAAATTATTTTCACGTATTGGTCACTAAACACTAGCTAAGCTACCTTGAAGCATCTACGTGCGCATCGTGTTCTATACGTTCCCAGTATTAATTGTTGTATCGTTGTACGCTGTTAAGTCATATAATACAATATGTCTAGATTATATGTCTACCATAGATTCTAACGACACCGTATTGCTGGAGTTAACGGAAGGAGAAAAGATGAAGAAGAGGATATTTGAAGATCTGAGATCGGCAAAGTTCAACATTCCAACTAAATTTTCGACACGGGTTGGAACTTGGCTGACGTTGAAAAGACACGAGTCTACGACGAACGTGGCCACGACTTGTCATCAACCAGCCAAAGCAGGAGACTCCAAAGTCTACCACCAGTGTTGGTCCGCTCCGGTCGAGCCTTTTGAGCTTTCTGACGTGCTGACACAAAACGGACCTCCATTCAGTCCATCGGACCTCGAGATGTCTGTTTCAAAGGACGCAGGATCCAACGCGTCGCTGCAGGATAATGGTGCTGTGAGTTCGATGGATACGCCGAAAAGAGTAAACACGTTATCGTGTACGTCCGTGCAGTCGGTGCCCGAACTACCAGCAACATCGCCCAAAGTCTGGGAGACAATAAGCGAATTTGAAGACTGTTCAGCGCAGAGTCGATGGTCCTCAGCTCCAAATATATACATACAACTTTTGGACTGGTAGATCACCCGGAACGGGAAACAGAATGCAGTGACGGCAGCGAGCAGGAGTTGGTCTGTGACCCGATAAATCCTAAATGGCGTCGCTCAATATGGAGCCGGACGAAGAAATTCGTCCGGCGCATGTTTTACTGCGCCGTTTAGAGGGTTACCGCAACCACTTAGTTGCTGAATGAAGTAATTCATTATTACCGAAATAATTAGAAAACAATTTTTGTTCAAGAACTTGATTTACATAAATAAGCTTGCAGCTTTGTTATGCTACTTGTCTAGTTGGTTTTTAATTGAAATTAATTTTAATTAAAAAAAATTATATTATTATCAAACGCATCAACATTCAACACCCTCTATAATATTGTACCAAAAACATCCTTGAACAAAAAAAATAAATTTTTGTATTAAAATTGATATTCAAATAGGTTTCCAAATAACTAGGTTCTTTACAGTTATATCTTATATTACTTAAAATATGTTTATACAAAGAAAAACTACGTTCTGAAATGAAATATGCAGAAAGTATATAACTCTGGTTGATACTTTATACAACACAATATTTGATCAGATTTGATTCGTCTTGTGTGCAAACACAGGTGCAATGTTAATTAAAGTCAGTCTTTAGTTATAAGTGTTATAACTTACGTCTTACAAGCAGTGCAGGTTGCAGCATTTGCTAATTATTATTTATTTTTGTCTCTAGCAGATAGTGCCACTGAAACTCATGTCAACATTATGTTATAATTATCTCAAACATTAAATTTGAAAATTCTGTTCTTTTTTTTGTACTTGTATTATTTTAAAAATGAGGGAAGTGTTTTATTCTTATGTTTTAAATTTATTGACCAGTTATCCGGAACACATTATTATTATCATGTTTTGCTACAAAGTCAGTCGCTCACAAAACTCAGACGACATTTGAACGATACTTTATTTAATACGTGACTCGCGCTGTAAATATTATCACATTTTCTTATTCTTATATGAGTTATATCTGAGCCTCCCCATATGAGTAGGCATATGACGAATTAACGCGCACAATATAAAACATTCTTGTTTATAATATACCAAATATTGTAATATCATTATTTTAATAGTGTTTTATGTTTTTTTAAAGCTTTTGTCGTTCAATGACAAACATGTAATGGGTACATACAATTGTCAGCTAGTGTAGACAGTGTAGTATTTTGTCCATCGGTGTTTGTTTACTGTATTAGGTACCTAACTGCTTTAATCGTTACTGTGCCTATTGTTATTTATGAGTATTGAAAGATAGGTGTAAGAATTATGATAGTATAATATAGATGTTTATGATTCATTTATTATAGAATCATACAACATATATTTTGCATATTATGCTGTCTATAAGCTTTAAGTTATAAATTATAACTATATTTTAAATGCCATATCGAAGACGACGAGATATTCAAATTTTAGACCTTACATTGAACCAAAACAAAAATTAACAGTTACTCTCAGGTACTGTAGAATAAGTATTTATTATTTGAAGTCGGTGGTTCTTAACCGGTGTGTTGCTGCACACAACTGTGCAGCGACATCGACTAGTAGTACCACAAAAAATGTCATACATATATAGGCACGTGGCAATGACTAATGCCTTGGCTGAAGTTGCCGAAGTTGTTGTGGTTGTCAAGTGCGCGAGCGTGTCGTGAAAAAGTATGATGGATAATATTGTGCCGCGGACCAAAAAATGTCGAGAACCACTGTTTTAAGTATATCGATTTGTATAATACTAATTACTATCCGTATACATTAAGTTTAAATTAAATGCATTCAAATGTTAAAAAAAAAATATTGTTAAAAAAGACTCAAAAAATCAAGTTTAAATAAATTAAATCTCGAACTGCTTTAAACTAAATACAAATATTTACTGATAATTTACTTCATTTTATATTATTATGCGTTGGGCGATTCGGGGTTGGGTACAAAGTAACTAGTTATGGACTCACATATAAAATCAGCATTTTGCTTTTCATTTTTGTTCGGTCGATTCGGCCGGTTTGGAGAATACCCACTGGGACTATATTCAGGCGTTAAATTGAATATTTGTTAAATGTTATAATTGTTAATTACTATTCTGTACGTTGTATAGAGATGATCACGAACCCTATAATATAATATGGTGTAATATGGTTTACGTATATTATGGAAGTATTCCACGAAATTATGAAGAATCAATTCAGAAAAAAATAATAATACCTAGTTGCTTTCTAAATAAAAACTACGTATAGATACGAGCTACAACACTCCTTATTAAAAATCTTCAGCTGTTGTTTGTCTTCACAATTGTAACTTGTAACTTGTATTAATATCAACGGTGAACTTAAAAATAATGTATGGTATTTAAATTAAATTAATTTTTTTTGTTTTGAATTAACCAATACAGTAACATAACAATGTAGTGTACCAAGTATTAAACTGCCAATTACTTCAAACAACTGCACGTTTCATTATGTAAATATATTATGACATTGAACTACTTAAATTATATAGTTATGCAGATTTCTCACACTCTCACTCTCGCACGAACAGGTTTAAAAACATCAAAACATTATTATTTATTACATTAAATTTGTCTCGGGTACATAATAACAAATTAGTATACCTACTTAAGGCTGTTTAAAGCGGATGTATGTTCATCCATTTAGATAAGTTAGCGGAAAATAATAAACTTCCAGACGTCCAATTTTAATTTTGAAAGAATATTTGAATTTATTCTCTTCTGTCAGTGTTTTGTTGAAAACGATTTTTTTTTTTAATTTCTCTAAATATAGTAATTGTGAATTTTGATTTTAAAAAAAATGTAAACTAATTGGGTACTATACAAATTAAACAATACAATAAATCGAAAATTAATTTTCTTTGAAATCTAGCAAAGAGAATAAGGAATCCAAATATGTTTTTTAAAATTAAAATCGGGCTTTCGTTACTGGGTAAATTTTTTTCCGCTTTTTGAGACTTTCATAGCCCCATTTGAATTGAAAGTTTTGGATCGCTTAATATAATGATGTGTGACTATTATTATGTGCGTTGTGGATTTCAAAGAATCTAAGCCGTAGTTTATCTGTAATGCGCATAAAG